TATGTATGCTTAGATCTTTAAAACTACGCAACGGATTTTGATGCGGTTTTTTTTAATAGATAGAGTGATTCTTAAGGAAGGTTTGTATGTATAATACATGCATATTGCACCCGTGCGAAGCCGGGGCGGGTCACTAGTTAGTCAATAAGTAAGAGTCTGACACTCCCACCCGCCTCACCCAGGCGAGAGAGGTCATTCGATGATTTTCCCGCTTAAAAAAAACTCACTACACACGGGGTTACAAGATACGTTACGAATATGCGGACAATTATTTCTGCAACACGAAAACGAAACACTGTTATAAGTGTGGGAGAGCTATGATGCTTCGACATAAATGAGCCGGCTCGACCGGAATGAAACCACGGCCTTACCGAAATGAAACAACCGAAGCGTTGTTTCTAATTTCCTTATCCTAAAAGGCCGACAACAGACTTATAACTCCACAATAATAGTGTACTGTTTCGGGTGTTCATGGGCGGCGCCGATTGCTTATCATCGTGTGATCCGTCTGCTCGTTTACCGGCCTATACTTCTTAATGGCTTCAAAAATGTGTCCGTGGGAGGTTGTCGGTAAATGCACTCTCTTCAAGTGTTTTGCACGACTATTTTAGTATCTAATTCTGGACTTGCGTGATTGCTTTACACGAGTGTGGCATTCGTCGAGTGAGCGAATTGAAGTGTAACGTTACATGAATGCGTAGTGAGTGGTGAGTGCGGTTACGAACTCGTGCGAGCTGGTGACGGGCGCGGCGTACTTGTCTGCGGGCCCGCGGCCGAACATGCTTTGTATGCGCTGCAGCGCGCGCCGCGTGGCCTCGTCGTCCACGCTGCTGGGCTGCTCGCGCACGTAGAACTTGCCCGTCACCGTGGCGGCTGAAGACAAGACTACAGTTGCACATTAAACTCGAACACTTCGGTTCACTACTTCGAGGAGGACTTACGAAGGCCGAGCGGTCTGACGAGGGAGACGTAGGAGCGGCCCTGCTCGCGCTGCGATGCGAAGCGTAGCTTAAAGGAGCGCGCGTGCAGCGGGCGCGCGGTAGCGAGCTCGCCTGGCTCGGTGGCGAGCTCGCCTGGCTCTCCACCGGCCGCCGCGCTGCTGTCTTCCGCCATCGTCCGTGCCAAGCCAGCGACTAGCTGTTTGATCGATGTGTTTCAGTTGCTAGGTTTCATGAATGAAATTCCTACACTACATCCGATGTCCACAATCATTTACTTGAAACTACCGGCAAAGAACACAATAACAAAGTGTCTTCCCCTTAATAGAGACAATAAGAAAAGTGTTAATGGACACATTCTTAGTTATACTTTCCTAGCAAATTAAGACAAAATAGAATTACTTATTAGCATTAAAGCTAGATTGTAATTTTTTTTATGATGTTACCGCATGAGGTCACGTCATATAAACAAAAAAAAAAAAAAATTTACTTGAAACGTTTTTTATCTCTTCAAACTTTAACAAATTTAAAGAGATAAAAAAAAATGCTTACATTGTTTGTAAAGCCGAAATCAAGAAAAAATGTAAACAATTATACTTGTATACATAAATAGGCGTTTTTAAAAATGTAACAGCGCCACATAATACGGGTGTAAAGTAAACGGAACGCTCCTGAAGCCGAAAAACGGTGACAAAAAATTTTAAGTTTTAAGAATTTTGATAGGTTTTTTTCGTGTTATTCATGCAACATCAAGCTTGGGCGGTTGATTACAACTATGTATTATTACACAAGTGAAACATTTAATTTCTTACTTTTATGAAAATAAAACTTGTTTTTGACCATTACCTGTCGGCATTTTTCAGGAACGTTCCATTTACACTCTATATTCACAAAATCCTTTCTTATATAACTTCTATCACAGTCGTGCCTTTTTTATCTATTAGGTATAGATATTAACATGGACAAGACAGTTATGTGATGTTATGTTGCACACAGATGCCGAGGCGGTGTTACGAGAGGAGGAGGCCATTTCGCCGGACGAGCTGAGCGTGGCACAGATGAGAGAGATAAAGGAGCGCGCACAGAACTATACATTCCAGACGGAAGTCAACCGAATGATGAAACTCATTATCAACTCGCTGTACAGGAACAAAGAGGTGAGGCCCGGATTACCCTTCTGCGCATCGCTGTCTACTGACGAGAACTAACACAACGAGCCTTCTGTTGCAGATTTTCCTCCGAGAGTTGATTTCAAACGGATCAGATGCTCTGGACAAGATCCGTCTGCTGTCACTTACGGAGCGGGACGTACTGGACGCCAACTCTGACCTAAGCATCCGCATCAAGGCCGAGCCGGAGAAACGACTCCTGCACATCATCGATTCCGGTATCGGCATGACTCGCAATGAGCTCATCAACAACCTCGGCACCATCGCCAAATCCGGCACCGCCGAGTTCCTGTCCAAGATGCAAGACGCGGAGAAGGTAAGCCCGGCCTCCTCGCGAGACTGGTCTCTGCGAGGGCGGTCCGTGACGTGCGTCTGTTGCAGAGCGGCGCGCAAGAGATGAACGACATGATCGGCCAGTTCGGCGTGGGCTTCTACTCCGCCTTCCTCGTGGCCGACAAGGTCACCGTGGTCTCCAAGAGCAACACCGACAAGCAGCACGTCTGGGAGTCCGACGCCAGCGCCTTCAGCGTCGCCGAGGACCCGCGCGGGGACACTCTGCGCCGCGGCACGCACATCACGTGAGTACCAGGGCCGGGCGGACTGACTCGGCACTCGCACATCCCGCGGGTACCAGGGCCGGGCGGACTGACTCGGCACTCGCACATCCCGCGAGTACCGGGGCCGGGCGGACTGACTCGGCACTCGCACATCCCGCGAGTACCAGGGCAGGGCGGACTGCTACGGCACTCGCGCATCCCTCGAGTATCAGGGCAGGGCAGACTGACTCGGCACGCTCTACTCACGCACTGACTCCTGCAGGCTGCACGTGAAGGAGGAGGCGGCGGACTACTTGCAGCCCGACACCATCCGCAACCTCGTGAAGAAATACTCGCAGTTCATTAACTTCCCCATCTACTTATGGGCGTCGCGCACGGAGACCGTCGAGGAGAGCGACGCCGACGCCGACGCGGAAGACAAGGCCGACGACGAGGACGCACAGGTACTCGCCGCTACCGTCTCGGCCGTCTCGTAGCTTTCCTTCGACCTCGCATTACGAAATAAATAATTACACATCGCATTCTAGGTAGAAGATGCCGCTGAAGAGAAACGCGAAACCAAAAAGACCGAAAAAACAGTTTGGGACTGGGAGCTCATGAACGACAATAAGCCCATCTGGACGCGCAAGCCTAACGAAGTCAACGAGGAAGAGTACACCCAGTTCTACAAGAGCCTGACCAAGGACACTTCGCCTCAGCTAGCCAAGTAAGTGTTCGCGATGGTGTATATGTGTATGTATAATTATGTGTTAGGGTGTGTGTGTGTGTGTGTGCAGTGACACAGTGTGTGTGCAGGGCCCACTTCGTGGCGGAGGGCGAGGTGACGTTCTACTGTTGGTGCCGCGGTGTGTGTGTGTGTGTGTGTGTGCAGTGACACAGTGTGTGTGCAGGGCCCACTTCGTGGCGGAGGGCGAGGTGACGTTCTACTGTTGGTGCCGCGGTGTGTGTGTGTGTGTGTGTGTGCAGTGACACAGTGTGTGTGCAGGGCCCACTTCGTGGCGGAGGGCGAGGTGACGTTCTACTGTTGGTGCCGCGGTGTGTGTGTGTGTGTGTGTGTGCAGTGACACAGTGTGTGTGCAGGGCCCACTTCGTGGCGGAGGGCGAGGTGACGTTCTACTGTTGGTGCCGCGGTGTGTGTGTGTGTGTGTGTGTGCAGTGACACAGTGTGTGTGCAGGGCCCACTTCGTGGCGGAGGGCGAGGTGACGTTCTACTGTTGGTGCCGCGGTGTGTGTGTGTGTGTGTGTGTGCAGTGACACAGTGTGTGTGCAGGGCCCACTTCGTGGCGGAGGGCGAGGTGACGTTCTACTGTTGGTGCCGCGGTGTGTGTGTGTGTGTGTGTGTGCAGTGACACAGTGTGTGTGCAGGGCCCACTTCGTGGCGGAGGGCGAGGTGACGTTCTACTGTTGGTGCCGCGGTGTGTGTGTGTGTGTGTGTGTGCAGTGACACAGTGTGTGTGCAGGGCCCACTTCGTGGCGGAGGGCGAGGTGACGTTCTACTGTTGGTGCCGCGGTGTGTGTGTGTGTGTGTGTGTGCAGTGACACAGTGTGTGTGCAGGGCCCACTTCGTGGCGGAGGGCGAGGTGACGTTCTACTGTTGGTGCCGCGGTGTGTGTGTGTGTGTGTGTGTGCAGTGACACAGTGTGTGTGCAGGGCCCACTTCGTGGCGGAGGGCGAGGTGACGTTCTACTGTTGGTGCCGCGGTGTGTGTGTGTGTGTGTGTGTGCAGTGACACAGTGTGTGTGCAGGGCCCACTTCGTGGCGGAGGGCGAGGTGACGTTCTACTGTTGGTGCCGCGGTGTGTGTGTGTGTGTGTGTGTGCAGTGACACAGTGTGTGTGCAGGGCCCACTTCGTGGCGGAGGGCGAGGTGACGTTCTACTGTTGGTGCCGCGGTGTGTGTGTGTGTGTGTGTGTGCAGTGACACAGTGTGTGTGCAGGGCCCACTTCGTGGCGGAGGGCGAGGTGACGTTCTACTGTTGGTGCCGCGGTGTGTGTGTGTGTGTGTGTGTGCAGTGACACAGTGTGTGTGCAGGGCCCACTTCGTGGCGGAGGGCGAGGTGACGTTCTACTGTTGGTGCCGCGGTGTGTGTGTGTGTGTGTGTGTGCAGTGACACAGTGTGTGTGCAGGGCCCACTTCGTGGCGGAGGGCGAGGTGACGTTCTACTGTTGGTGCCGCGGTGTGTGTGTGTGTGTGTGTGTGCAGTGACACAGTGTGTGTGCAGGGCCCACTTCGTGGCGGAGGGCGAGGTGACGTTCTACTGTTGGTGCCGCGGTGTGTGTGTGTGTGTGTGTGTGCAGTGACACAGTGTGTGTGCAGGGCCCACTTCGTGGCGGAGGGCGAGGTGACGTTCTACTGTTGGTGCCGGTGTGTGTGTGTGTGTGTGTGTGCAGTGACACAGTGTGTGTGCAGGGCCCACTTCGTGGCGGAGGGCGAGGTGACGTTCCGCGCGCTCCTGTTCGTGCCGCGGGTGCAGCCGGCGGACTCGTTCAACCGCTACGGCACTAAGACGGACCACATCAAGCTCTACGTGCGCCGTGTCTTCATCACCGACGAGTTCAACGACCTCATGCCCAACTACCTCGCCTTCATCCAGGTAGGCCTTTGTCTTGTAACCTAACCTAGCTACCTAGCCGATTTCGGTACTTATTTTAAAGTAGCTTCTGCCAGTGGCTTCGATCGCGTATAGCCTGTGTGTTATTGCAGACCAAAATCTACACCTTTCTCAAAGGGCGTTGACTAAAATTGGTTTCCTTTCTTTTTTCGGGCGGCAGGAAATTGTCTATGGGCTCATATATGGAAATCTCAGTCTGGACTGAGTTATGTGAGAGGAGCTGGAGTCAAACATTTTACTTTGATTTTTTTATTCAAATTATTCATATTTTTGTCACAATTCTTAACTTCAAATTGCGCGCTACTGTACGCTGGGCACAGGAACACCATAATATCACACCACAACATATCCATATTCCACGGCACTAATTTTTATTACCTATTTTCTCTCATTCGATAACTTGTGGGATGCTTCTAGGAGTTGTGTCATGAAGCTTCATAAGCGTCTGCTGTGGTACCAGTGGTGAGTTGAGTAGTGGTAGCCGTCCAAACATCTAATAAAGTATTTTTTTTGCCGTTGACTCCTGGTGAGAGACTCATCTTCTTTATAGTTATCATAATCTTTTGAAGAAAAGAAACCGTCGATTTTTGTAAAGTGATGGACTACGTCAGATGAGCGCATTATTTTTTTATGTGGTCAGTCGAAATATAATCCATCACTTTGTGACCGAATGACGATATCTTTGTACAGGATCTTATGCTAGCTGTAGATTAAAGTATTAACTGTAGTTAGATTAGTTACTAATCGGAAAGAAGTCGGGATAAGTAGACAGAAAAAGGTTTTTTTCGTGTTTTGACGACTGCCGCTACTCAATCCACTACCAACGCCGCAGCTGACAAACATAGCATTTCATGATAGGGCTCACTAAAGTATTTTGCGGGTTTTTTTGACTGAGAGGAAATCGATCATGAAAATCTGTCATAGGCCATAAACCGTATACATATAAAGTGAATACGCTAGCCAATCAAGCGAAATGATTTTTTTTACTTCAGCAGTGGTCAGTT